CATGCTAAATGCTAGCTCGCGATTAGCATCATATACTGATACTCTTCTAGCATTTCATTGATGTACAGAAATCACTTGCAGCAGCTGCTCATTCATCCAAAGGTTAAATTAAACAAAGTAGAATGTACAGAAAGTAAGAATGTAAACTGTGGAACCACAGGAATTTCTTGACCGTTTTTTCTCAGCTTATCTCGTTCAGCCTCCTTCTAGCACAGAGTGGCAGTCGAATCTCAGGCGACTTTTCGACTGCCTCGTTTAGGTCCCGCCCTCACACTTATGATTGGACATTCGATTTCCATCAACCAATAAAACAAAAGAACTGCAAGCCTGACAGTACAACATGTTAGGTTGTGGAAAGAACAAGTTTTTTTTAGATGTAAATTTCAAACATGCGGCAAATAACCCGCATTTTACCCAAAGTAAATTAAAATAAACAATTTATGAACTATTAAATAAATCAACTCGATTTCTTGTACTTTTAACCCAAATTACACCATTCGCACTTGTTTTTAATACTTGTATTTTTAAATCATCAATTACTAAATCTGGTATTTATATTTTAGCCTCCTTAGTATTAAATGAATATTTTAGACAGGGGTACACTTTAATGTAAATGAGAGTGTCACGACAGAATACCTTCAGCTAATTTCTGGTATTCTTATTGATATAAATAATTCATACTTTTTTCTATTTACTATTTTGGTTATCCACCAAGCAACTGTACAGCAGTCCTGGAAGAAACTTTTAATGCTTTGTGAAACAAGAAGTTTATTTGTTCACTCTGTCAATGCAGCAGGTAAAATCAAGAATTAGTTCCTTTTTTTACATCAAAATAAGAATCTCAAATGGAACTTCACCTGTGTGTCAAGCTGAGAGCACATGCCTTGATATCTGGGGCTCACAATAATTTGCACTTACTTTATGAGTCAAAGATGACATCTAACAGCACATCACAAGACGTATTTCTCTTTAGTGTGAAATATTAATGTTGTGAGTTGTTATGCCACTAAATTTCTCTATAACTTTAGTAAATATAATATTTTCCAGCCTACAAGTCACACCTTTATCATAGTGTGAATAAGTCATGCGACTGCTTGCCAAATTTATCTTAATCAGTCTCCTTCAAAGACCTTCCCTGCATTACTTCTACACCTAAATTCTTATGTCAGACTGATAGATGTTGCATTAACATTTTCAAAATAGTTCAAGAGCACCATTTGTTCACCATAAAGGGTCATTTTATAGAGGCACAACTCTTCGTCCATGCCTTTTGACATTTGTGTTTAACTAAGTATGAGAAAAGACACTGAGCTGGCTTTGAGGGTATTTACTGTCTGTGAGTATCTGCTATTGTCATGTTAATATGATCGGACGCCTCTTAGCCTCAAAGAAGGATTATTTTGTACGATTCAGCTGAATTTACTTTCTATAACAGAGACGAGAGCAGAATCTGAGGATTACTAAACTGCATCAAAAAAAATCAATGTGAGGAAACTCATGGCTACATCAGCACTTAGTCTCTGCACTCGGAAGCAGCAAAGCACATGCGTTTGCATTCTCCACAAGGGAAGGATGTATTTAAGAGGCATATTTGGCCTTTTGTTTGCTGTTTGCGGTGCCACTGTATATGTTTAGAGCTGCTTTAATAGGGAAGATGGCCTTCACTTAAAAAACCAACACTGCAGAAATTTTCGCAGACATGGATAAAATCAGAGACAACCATACTTCAGCTGCAAAAGCACTCCAGACTTTTAAACCTCATGCATAGTGTCAGTGTGGAAAACGAGCCTTAACCTCCAATTCACAAAACGAAGCCACTATAGCAGTAAAAAAAAAAAAAAAAAAAAATCCTTTTTAAAAACAAAATTAAATGAGCAGACACAAGCTTTATGTGATATTAACAGAGATGTTCCTGCGTAACTGGAACACTGTCTTTGTCATCATGTTCTCATTTAGATGCCCAATCTGTTCGTCACAGAGATTTTATTGCTTTCTCAACTACGTAGAGCACAAGTGATACAAACCGGTCAGGTCTCTGACAGCAGTGATGTGTCGCTTACTCATCATCACTCTGAACTCACTGAAACTTGAAAGGTGAGTCAGGGGAAGTTGTATAATACAACAGAAGTTCGAATCAATATTTGCATCTTAGATTGGCACAATTTTCAGAACCGGTTGTCACTGAACTGCTGGTGGAAAAATTTAAAATATATCCAGAGGGGCAACAAATATCTCAGCATATGGTGAGATTGCGCAATTTGGACTCCGTGCCTACTCACAGATGCATTTTCAGTTTGAACAAAGTGGGAGGTGGGGGGGTAAGAATGCCATGCATGAATAGCTGTCTGTCTGTGTCCTCTGCTAATTTTTACTGAAAGTAGATAGCTAAGAGCTCGACAAGGCTTAAGTAAATTGACTTTTTCAGATCAGATCAACTTAGCCCTGGATCACCAACCCCATTCTTCTGTTCTCGCTCTTCACAGGGGAGTTTAAAAGGGAAACAAGGAGCAGAATGACATACATGTTCTGCCTGAATTTAAAAGTGCACACAACAAGCTTATAAGTTGCAATATTGATCTTTTTACTAATATTAATAAACTTTGTTTTTCTCTTTAAACTTTTGTCTCTGTTTCTGGGAACCCGCATTCCATGATAATATATTGGGGTCAAAATTAAGGACAAGTATAAGATTAACGAAATCGTGAGAACTATATTTTTGTAGCCTGTTAACCACACTGGCCAAAAATCTGTGAGCTATAAGTAGTTGTGGACTGGATTTTATTGTTTATTAAAGTAAAAATTACTTTGTGAACTTTTGGTGTTTATCTGATCAGCACTAAAACAACACTTTATTGAAACAAAGTAAAGATATTTTTGTTGAAAAGGGAGTAAGTCGCAGGAAATGAAAACAGTGCAGCACACTGTTAAAAAACATATCTACAGTTTTGATTTTAGGAGCTTTAATGTTTGTTTTTTGTTATCAGTCTGGAAAAAGTATTTAATCTTCTCTCTGTGACATGGACTCTGTTCAAAAATCCTTGCTGTGTTTAGCCAAAAAAAAATAGAAGTCACTGGATGTTTATGACATAATTGACTAAGAAATTAAATAAAAGCAACAACAAAGAAGGATGGCAAAAGAAACAATCTTTCCTCCATTTCTAACATTTATTTTGAAAATTAAATTTGTCAATGACAATCTAACTTTCTGCCCGTCTGTATCAACAAATTGTGTTACCTGACTAAATTTGTTTACAAAATCCATTCAAGAACCTTAAGATGAAGTGCTTGGTTTGGACTGTAGACCCCAGTTTCAAACAAGCCTTTGATTTCCTAAATCCTGCCAAGTCCAATCCCGGAAAAACTGAAATAAAAAGTAAGAGTTAGTATGTATAACATTTGCGTTTATTCTGGGTTATATTCTGGGTTATTACTCCATTTGTTCTTGAAGTAAATGGAGTAAGTTTGTCTCCATTGTAAACTAGTTGTATTTAATCACAGCAGAAATGAGTCAAACTTTTACAGGCTGTCCTGGCTGTAGAATAAATGTAGGATAATATTTTACCAAAGTGTACTGTCATTACCACGCCTACCATTTAAATTCCCTTCCTATGATCACTCCCTAATCGACTGACCCAGAGTAAATAAATGTTTAATGGTTAACTTTTTGGCTGTCTCTAAAAATTTTGAACAACATTATTTAAGTTCATTATGGTAAATGAAAATACATCTATTAAAGTAATCTGCTTTCCTACTGGCCCATTTGTAATAATAGTTGAAACCTGTTGTGTGTCAGAATATTTCTAAAAAAAATCAACTGACATATTTAAATATTGAATCGTGCTGTTGTTGTTAGTGAAGAAAAAATATCTGTATTAAATGCAGTTTTAGGTGGATTCACTTTCCTCTTGGTCAAATTTGCTGTTTTTTTTTTTTTTTTTTTGGCGTGGTAGACGAGACAAAGTGTTCTTTGTTTTTCTGGCAGTTTCACTGTGTAATAGTTTGTAGATGATGTCAGACTTCAGAAATTGATATGTTTTGCGCCCTCTGAACTGTTGAATAAGATATGAGTTATTGTAAGATACCGTGGTGTACATATGTCCTGTTTTGTTGTCAGAGTTACATGTTTCAGATTAACAAACAAGTTGTATTATCAGACAAAGATAACTAGAGTAAATGTAAATACAATGCAGTTTTTAAGAACAAAGATAAAAAAAAAAAAAAAACTATCTATCACCTGCCAAACCTCGGCCCGAGGTTACTGCGAAACATGCAGAATCAAGAAATAATTTAATCAGACCAACAGATTTCAAAAAGGAACACGGCATGCCCTATTCTAAATCTATTTTCAAAAAGATGAGCAAAAAAGAAAAGGGGTATAAAGCTATTCTGCAAATCAGATCCAATGAAGAAACAAGAAAGAAAAAAATTACGATTTTGTATGACAACATGACATTGAATAAGCTGATTTGTTGTGTATTTTTTGTGTATTTGAGAAATGTCTGTTACAGCCTTTGAATTGAGCAGCAAATTTTCTGTTAATGTGGATAATAATATGAACTATTCACTTTTATTATTGAGTGAATTAAATGAACACGTAAAATCAAAACGAAAGATGATAGCATTAGAAAACATCATTAGCTTTTGACTGAAATTAAAATATATTAATTTGAAATATTTATGTGTAACACAAAGTCAAAATCAGCAGAAATATGTGAAATGGAAATACAATTTTGTTGTAATTTATCTTTTTACACAACATTGTAGACATATGCCAGGTATTGATGTTTACAAAAACACATGCTACAAGCACCTCCACAATTATTAGAGGTCCCCCTCTGGGGCCCCCTTGCCACAAATTCCTGGAATCGCCCCTGCTTTCTCACGTACCAGCAGCGTGATCCTTCCTGTTTAATACCTCCCAACACTTCCACGGCGTGTGTCGGAAGGGGGAGTGGTCCCGAGGGCGTAGTGTGGGCGTGGGCTAGCTGACAGTTTCTGAGAGTGAAAAACCGGGGAGGACCGTCTGAAGCTGAGCAGACAGAGCGGACGCGCTCCGGTGAAGTTCTGTCCAGATCGGAGTTTTCTCTCTTTGCGCGCTGGAGCTTCAGCGGAACGGAGCTGGATCGTAAAGCCTTGGTTCTGCCAGCAGAGACTCAAACGGACGGAAATAAGATCTATGTCGATTGGAGGATTATAGTCTGAAAGGTAAAGCAGGATTTGTTGATCGGTGCGTTAGAACGTGATGGGGAAGATAAAGCGTCCTGTATGTTTGTAGTAAAAATGTGATTTCTGTTCTAATTGCTAATATCAAATATTTCCACCAACCTGCTTCTGTTATTGGCCTCTTAATTTATATGTTGTTGTTGTATTATCAGCATTCTTTATTTTATTGGTAGGGAGACTCTATAACATTAATAGACACTTGGATGAAATGGTATTTAGTATCCCTTCATAGTGAGCATAATATTGAGGTAAAGAACAGGGAATCCTTGTTAAACATTCATCATTCATCATTTAACAGAGTTAAAGTCTATTCACTTCCTTGAACATGTGGACTTTGAGGCTATCAAGGTTTTCTCATGTCCACCTGCTGTACGCTAAATCCAGCTGTTTCCTTCCAGTTGCAGCTGCAGGGGGAGAACAACAACCTTTCCTTCACTCAGACCTTTGTCTTCAGCCTGCTGCTCTTTCAATGTGGCATACAGTTTTGCTCCATTCGCCAGGCTGAAATCTTCCAGGGTCAGGACCTCTGTCATGGCAGCCCTGCTCCTCGGGCTGCTGCTGTTCGCTATGCAGTCCCCTCCGCTCCCGTCCAGGCCCCTGGCGGACGGGGGGTCATCTTCGCCCCCCATCTCCTCGCTGGACCCTGACAATGGCACCGCCAGTCACCCCAATGGGACCCTGCAGCAGCTTCCTCAGATCATAATCATCGGCGTGAGGAAGGGGGGCACGAGGGCTCTCATCGAGATGCTCAGTTTGCACAGCGCCGTGGTGGCGGCTCAGAATGAAGTTCACTTTTTCGACTGGGAGAGTCACTTTCAAAAAGGCTTGGCCTGGTACCTCAGTCAGATGCCTTACGCCTTCCCCGAACAGCTGACGGTGGAAAAGACGCCGGCCTACTTCACTTCTGCCAAGGTCCCCAAACGCATCTATCAGATGAACCCCAACATCAAGCTGCTGCTCATCCTCAGAGACCCCACGGAGCGGGTGCTCTCGGACTACACCCAGGTCTTCTACAACCGCCTCCAGAAACACAAGCGCTACCAGCCCATCGAATCGGTGCTGGTGAAGGACGGAGAGATCAACCTGGGGTACAAGGCTCTGAATCGCAGCCTGTACTATGTTCACATGCAGAACTGGCTGCAGTACTTCCCACTGGAGAGCATCCACGTCGTGGATGGGGACAGGCTAATCAAGGACCCCTTACCCGAGATGAAAAAAGTGGAAAGATTCCTAAAGCTGGAGCCACAGATAAACGCTTCAAATTTTTACTTCAACAAAACAAAAGGATTTTACTGTTTGAGGGATCACGGGCGAGAGCGGTGTTTGCACGACTCAAAGGGCAGAGCACACCCTCATGTAGCTCCTGCTATCCTGCAGAAACTCTACCAGTTCTTCCACCAACCTAACAAAAAGTTCTTTGAGCTGGTGGGAAGAACATTTAACTGGAAATAAATGTTTGAGTTTGTGCATAATGAGCTCACTAACAACATAAATGAAGGGACAAAAGCAAATGTAAATTTAAACAAAATTTTATTTTTTTACTAGTATATTTGTTAAGGAGGCAGTCTGGGTCTATCCACCCCTCGCCTGCTTGTACTTTAACTTTGTTCCCAGATGTTGCCATTCGGTTTGTTCCGTTTTCCGTTTTGAACATGTAAACAAACCATTTCATCCAGATGTGCTTTATGTGTTGTAGTTAGACGATTTCATTAATAAGGGAGACAAAGCAATTCATTTAGCTGTATATTATTATCCATTAACTTAGAATTACCACCGCCTCCACTGATTGTGGCTATGAACTCCTGTAAAACACGACAAGCCCAATGAAACCAAAATAACTTTTAGTGAAAATTCTTTATTATAGCATTGAAACAAAATGACTTAACAGTAGACTGATTGGACTATAAAAGTGGGTATGAATGGATGTTGACTTGATATGAAACGCGCTGCAGTCGGCTCTGTTTTGTTCCCCTTAAACATTAGGTATGAAATGGCCAACAGTGAGGTGAATATCAGGGCAGACTGCTGGTTTTCCTTTCCAAACAGGCACCCGGTGCTGGAATGTGGACCAGCTTCTGCTCAGCTCGTATCAGCAGACTCGTTTTACACGGTGCCAGTAATGTTACATAAAGATATGCACTGAGCAGCTTTTTATTGTCAGACGTTTTTCTTTCGCATTATCTGAGATAACATTGTTCATATCTAAGTGTATGAGGCTCTGAAGGAATTTATTGCTGCTCTATTTTTTTAGAGACACACACTCTAAATATTGAACAATAATTTGTTCTTTTTTTTTTTTATCAGTTTCTTGACTTTGTTTGCAAGAGCCAGTCATGTAAACATGGAACCCAGATATTGCTTATCAATAACTCAACTGTAAATATTTTTATAAAACTGAGAAATTAACACTATAATAAAGATGTTATTTTATTTTTTACATGTCTTCTGCTTTTTCCTTCTCTCTCTCTCTCTTTTTTTTTTTTTACATATTTTTACGCTGTGCAGTTTTTCTTTGCTTTTAGTAAGATGACTCGGGTCATTATTTCTCCACCTGGTGACTTGCATAATAGCTGTATTTTGCGTGTTTTAGTCGGCCTGTCGTGCATTTAGGAAACTGTACATTAACTTTTGTCGCTCAGATAATGAGTCATCGTTGATTTTCTGTTTGGCCGCCTGCTATCAGAAGAGCTACATTTGGATTTTAGTGCGTGTTTAATAAGCTGTTGTCTGATGCTTCATTAGATGCTTTCAGAGCAGTTTCTTTACACAACTTAATTATCTGCCATTATAGCATGTGAGAATTAAGATTGGGGGACAGAGGTGAAGTAAAATTTGAGCACAATCTGAACCCAAAAAAAAGAAATCAAAGGAGAAGTTGTTTATGCCCAAGGGTGCAATCATCTTACTTAGTTTTCAAGAGAGGCAAGGCATTATTTATTCAAATCAGATCCGCAAAAATTAAGCTTCAAAACCTCAGCTCCAAAAAGTTTTTGTGATATTTGGACGTGGCCCGGATGCACTCGGAGGCATACCAGGACTTCAGACAGGACGCTAAGCTTGCTGCTCCTTAAATCCACATCAAAACAAGAATTCCTTTTCTTTTCCGTTTGCCCTCAGAGATTGCGAATTATATCTTCCTGCTCTCTCTGCACTTTGCATGTGTTCACTTTGGAGAGATTATTGAGTAACCCAATCAGAGAGGCCTTGGCGTAAAACCTGTTTTTCTGCAGGCAGAGAGGCGGAGAAGGTAAATAGAGATCTTGAGGGGCCGGGGTTGATCTTAGATTATCAAGGATCTCTAAAATGTGCGTCATCTGGCCTGCATGGGGAAAACAACAAAATGAACATAATTTATTTTCAAGATGGGGTCATTGCTGGTGGCCAGATCTGGAGGAATGTACTGGAATCCAGCTGCTTTTGAAAAGTAAGGAGCAAAACAGAAGCAATGTTAGTGTCACCTTCCCCTGGGTCAAAGTAAGACTGATGAAATATCTAGATAAATTCATTTTCCCTCCATACTACAGCCTGCAATAACTACCATTTAGGAAGAAGATGAATGAATTGCATTCATGCTAAGCTTCAACTGATGATGCTCTATTTTGTTCAGTTTGCTCCTTTCTGTAGATGTGTTTAAATAAATTAGAATGCCATCAGAAGTTGATCTATTGCAATAATTATAATTTTTTTGAGAACAGATATATTCCAAGAGTTAATTTCTTAGTTTTGATGATTATGGATTACACGTAATAAAATCAAAAAATTAAAATTTCTCCAAAAATGTTAAAATTACATTGGAGTTTTAGAACAAAATATTATACAATTAAAATATTGGATTTGTCAGTAGTCTTTACAGTACATGCCCTCAATATTTTGCTGAGCCACTTAGATGAAAAAATTGTGGCAAATATTTAACAGTGTCTTCACACAGCTGCCTAAAAAGCTGTTTATGTTCTCACTCAAACTAGAGGGAGCACATAACCCAAGTTTTAAAGTCCTTACTCTTTCTCGCTCAGAGAATAGGCTTTAAAATACTTTTGTTAGTTTATAAATCACCAAAAGATCTGGAGTCATTGTATCAGCCTTCCAAACCATTGGTCTGGTCTGATTGTTCAGCTCTATTCTGTATCACCAGAATCAGAACCAGCGTTCAGTTTTTATGTTCCTTTACTCTGGAAAATGTCAAAATTGCTGAAATACTGAGATCTTTTAAATCAAGGCTAAAACTGAATAGTTTAAAGTTGCCTTTGATTTGCAACAAGTAGAACATCTTTAATTTCAGTCCAGATTTAAACTTTTCATTAATTCACTTTATTTTGACATTGCAATGTTGCTTATAAAGTTTTTTCATTTTAATGTCCTATAATAGATGACTACATCACTTTTAAATTGAGAAAACACTGTGGACCAACACCAGCAGTGTCCTCAAGTCAGGACGAGCTGAGAAAACCTCTCCACTGACCTCAAACAACTTGGATTTGTGCTTCTTCCCACAGACTCAGCAATGTTGACTTTCAAACAAAATATAAAAGTTCCTGTCACCTGTAAAGAGGTCTTTGGACCACTGAGCTGCAATCCAGGCTCATTTCTCATTTGTATGAGAGAAATGCCTTTGATGGTGTCCTTGTTATATGAGACACTTACAATAAGCACATAAAACCTGATTTATACAGTTCATTTCGTAGGTCTAAAAGTGTTTGTGCAGAAAGAAACACAAAACCTCAAATCTAAGTTAATCAGAAATAGCCATCATAAAGAAAGAAACATTGGTAGTATTGAATATATTTGTATGTGGAGGCCTGAGGAAAGCCAATGCCTTTTGCTCTTGATTATGTTTCTCAGTGCTCTTGAAACTGCAGCTAACTTTGTATCCTTGTTGTGTGTGTGTCCTGTTTCCCTTCTTTTAATTTTCCATTAATACACTTAGATACAGCACAACTACTTTCTTTTTCAATGATCTACTTTGCTTTGACCTTCTTGTGGAGGATGTCAGTGACAATCTGTTGGGCATCTGTCAAGCAGTAATCCTCGTGATTGTGTTAGCCACAGAATATAATAGTCATATAATTTTTAATTAGTTTAATGTGATATTCAAAAGTTTTCATAAAGCCATAACCCCAGAATTCACAGAAATAATCACTTGACAAATATTGTGTGAGGAGTTTATATTATGTATTTGGTTCAATTTTTAAAGTGAACTACTGAAATAAATAGAATGTAAAATATACTCAAAGACATTTGCAAAATCATCTAAAACAAAAGTGGCAATTCATGGTTAATTTTTTTTTCCCCAAATGTTCCATTTGTTCTGCAAGCATCAGTGATGCATCTCAGTGGCTCTGCTGAATAAAACCAGAGATTACAAGAAAGAGACACCACATAAACCTCAGGTTGCCTGACATGATTAATTGCAGAGGAAAGAAGAAAAGCAAATCTTTTACTTGAGTGAAATCATTTCAGAGTTATCCTTTTTAATGGTTGATTTCTGGCTCACTTTGAAATGCTTTGTAAAATGTTTAAAGTGGGAAGTTTAAAGGTTGAATTCACAGTTTGGTGAAGATGTTAACAGCTCAAAGATCTGTGAAGTCTGAGTATGAACCCTTAATGTGCTAACAAGGCACAAGAAGGCAGAGAAGCTCACAAAAAGTCTGCTTTTCTGCTTGTTAACGTTCATTTCAAAAGAGAAAAACTTTGCGTGTGAAACTGTTTTTGCTCTCCACTGAAATTAATATTGCACAGTAATATATCAGATTCAGTCCAAAGATTTTCACCAGTTAGAAATTTTCTTTACTTCTCTGATTGATGAATTATCTCATCACTTCCCTCATTTCTCCCAGCACCCTTGGAGGCATCATAGAGCTCAGATTTGCAGGTAAAATGAACAATTTAAAACCCTAATTTTATTTTTTTTTCCCTCTTACGTAATAGTTTGGATGTCTACATTTCTTTGGGCAAAATTATGCAATAGTTGTGCTACTCTTACATGAGAATAATTTTGAGCTACTCTTTACTGAACTTTTATTATTGGTATTAAAGTTTTAAAGTTGCAATGGGACACAGCTGTGTTTTTCTTTGGGGTGATAGTTGTACACTTGCACAGTTTCTTACCTTTTAAAAAATTGTAAGCTTAAAACAAACCAAGAGCCTTCAAGGCCCTTGGAGATCTGACAGAAATGTAAAGCTTTCTACCTGAATGTTTAAGTCAATTTCCCTAAACTGTTGCAGTAAGTGAAAGCAGCATCATCTCTTTAAAGTAATCATTTGATCCCTTGCATAAAACATTAATTATAGACCGGTATGTAGATATATTCTAAAGCCTGCTTTATAAACACCTGCAGAGCCTCTCTGATGTTAAAATAAGTTTCCTGTCGATGCTGCTGTCTCCCTTTCCTTGCTCTGATTATACACTATCTACGTAAGAGAGGCATCTATTAAGAGTTCATGAACGCCCCATTAGTCTAGTCAGCTGTGCAGCCCTCTAAAGTTTTACAGTCACAGATTTCCTCCCACATCACCTAATTAATCTCAGCCACATAATTAATTTGTCTCCTCACACGCATGCACTAAGAGCAGTAAACTCAAGCAACAACCAGGATTAATGGCTTTGCCCTCCTCCCGGCGCCTCCCTCTCCTCCAATACCTCTGCTGTAATGTAATTTGCCGTAGAAGTTTCTGGACTTGTTTGGAGCCAGTCGGCCTCCACCTCCTCCTCTTCCCTTCACCGGCTGCCAGCCCACACTCGTTGTTCCTGAAGAGGCCCGTTTTCCTCCTGACCACAATCAGCCATTCTGGACTTTTTCAAAGGCTGATGTGATCCGATGGAGCTCAGCCTCCTTGTGCAGTCTCCTGGGCTGCAGCTTTAATTGGAATAGATTGTTTGTCGAAGTCAATGTGTGAAGCACGGTAGAATTAACACATGCACCCATTCTGTTTTTATTTGCCCCAAACTGAAACGGGAACATTCAAACTGTGGCCACTTGTTAGCTTCAGATTGAGCTGGTTGTGCATTAAGTATCTAAATTGCTGGCACACAGGGGGATATTTTAGCAGTCATCACAGGTCTGATTGTGTTTCTAAAGGAATTGTTTAGCATGCTCTTTTAAAGCCATTTATCAAGTATCATGGATAGTCAGCTTGTTTACAAATTGTTGTCCTTGCTTGTTGAAAAATAAATTTTATCTTCCTTTCTCAATTTGCACACATTGCAGATCATTTTTACTTAATCTACTGAATAAGATCAGCAGCACTGATTTAACATATGGTGCCATACAAGAATATCACATCCCTTCAACTTTTTTTTTTATATTTTAATGAGTTGCAAACAAAAACTTCAAGGTATTTTACTGTTAATTTATGTGATATGCCAAAACAAAGAACAGCAAGGAATGGGCAACAGCTAGTACTTAATATTTATTTAAAACATTTCAATTGCTTATTTTA